TTGCTTTTTTTTCCTCCCTTTGAATATCTTGCACCCTAAGTAACAGAAGGGAAAAATACCTCTTTGTATGCCTAGCACATTTGTTACCATTTCCACATGTTGGTCACTAATATCCTCTGAGGTAAAGAACAAACTCTTTCTCTTGTTCATTTTTTTTGTCCAGATGCAGCCTCATAATGTTGATCTTAAACTTACACTCGAAAGATTTTTAAAATCACATTTCAAATAGAAAAATAAAAATCAAAACCAAGAGGTGGTCCATATAAGACTTAATGTACTCATCTACTCTTAAATACCAAAATGCATTTTAAACCGCATCATTTCTTGCAATATTTCTTTGTAAAGTCTCTTAAAACATTGTGGAGACTATTGTAAAAATATGCGAACTCTTTGAAACAAGTATTTCATAGCATTGAGAAAAATTTTAAAATTTTAGTCAATTTTTCTACTCATTGAAGCAATAAACTAATTAAAAATCATGGATGAGATTTGTAATAGTTGCTGATGATATATGGACAAGAATGTCTTGTATGTTATCGGATTCGCCATTGTGTTTTCCTAAAGAGAAACCCAGCACGGAACCTGGCGGGCGTCCCCCAATTTTATTCATTGAAAAGAAAATATGCAAGAGGCAGTGGTTAAGCCTTACCCAAAAGAAGAACCATCTTACAAAGATTTTCTAAAATCTCACAACGATTTTATTGCGAATTAGAGCTAAAAACTATCTTACAAAGATTTTCTACAAATTCCGTCACAGTTCAGTTTCAAGTTATAAACTAAGAAATGTCTTACAATAGATTTTTCTAAAAATCTTTGACAACTCTATTGATAAAACCTGAAAGAAAAAAAATAGTTTTGTTCATTTTCATATTACAAATCACAGTATGAACTATTACAAATATTCGTGATTTGAAACGAATATAAGGTGTGGATTCTTGATCCAAGATCAACAATCCTTTTACCTAACTTAGTATTTTTGCCCATTTGTCAAACTCTGACGTTCTTCCTCCATTCCGGACGTTGCTAACATGTCCGCAAATGAATTTACTTCTTTGTATACATGTATCGTTGAGTAGTTGGAATTTTTTAGAATTTTAACAATCTCCTTCAGGTGAAGATGATTCTTCCAAGTGAAGTACTTTTTATTATGAAGCATGTCCAAAAATAGTATATTATCTCACCAAAGTTGAACGTTGTTGAGCTGTAAATCTTCACATGTCTTCAATCACTCCAATATTATTTCGATTATGCATCAACACTAAAATCCAATTCTACATGTTTACATGCTGCAGAGATAAAATTATCACGCTCTTAACGAATGATATAGGATTCACCATTGCTATTGGTGAATCTCCTACCATAAAAAAATATAATGATACAAATAGGAAAAATTTTATAAAGAAAAATGGCAAGACATGTTTCTCATCTATAATTTCTATTGGGGTTATGCATTTAAGGTTAGTAAGATAGTTTAAATTATTGATACATTTCTTGTAACTTCTTCCTGTATGTACAACTACTCTTAATATTTAATTGATTTTGGATATTTATACATCAAATTAATCTAAACGACGAGATTTTGGCTCGCATTTTTGTATACATTAAAATTAATTTAAAAACATTTCTTACAAATATATTTGAGTTCCCGAGTTTGGCTCGTACATTCGGCCTGCGTGCTCATTCCATATAGTTCATTTTATCCAAGCGTACATGTGTAGGCAATGCATATGTGAGCAGAATTTATATATGTTCGACCAACGTTTCCATTTCCTTCTACTTCCTTTGCTTGATTTTTGTTTGCATGTTCGGCTGTTGCGCGACACAACTCATTTTTTAGCAAATTTTTTTATGCAATATTATACGAGCGTATATGTGTAAGTAAGACACCTATAAGTCTAAAACACAGTCACATGGATCTCTTTCTAGAATCTCTTTCACTGGCTAGGGACCTGTGAAAATTTTTGTCGATTGACACTATGCTATATGAAAAGAAAAAAATTAATACAGAAAACAATTCTGAGATTTAGTTGATTAATTAGACACCCTTATTTTTTCAAAAAAATATTTAAAAACCTACCTTAACCCACAAGTCAATTATAAAAAGGGTACCCTGACGACTGAAAAATGATGTATGCACACGAATTCAACAAAAAAAAAATGTCAAAAAAGTGCCAAAAAAGCAGTTTGTATCCATGATGGCAATCATAAACCAAACTAACAATTATCATAAATGAAATTTGACTTTAATGACAAACTAATATCAACTTGTAGTACGGAAGCATTTAATCTAGAAAAACTTGAATATTGATATGATAGTTTGCCCCTTTTGAAAGAGATCTTATGGTAGACCAATTTTGAAATAGATGGGATGGTAATTTGCTTTAAGAAACCAACCAACAAATCCAACATGTGAAAGAGTACCTTGACTAGAAAGCTCCGGCTGAATTTAGCCGACAAATCCAAGAAACCACCACCGCCGCCTGAATTTAGCCGAAATCTGGCTACCGGTTGTTAGCCGGCGGCTACAGAGGGCGGTCCGGTGGAGCGGGGCAGTGGTGTAGGTGGTCCGGGGAGGGTGGAAAAATAACATTATTTTATTTAAAAACATATCTTTACAATTTTTTAAATTTTTTCTCAAACCACATTTTAAATTTCCTCCTAAATCCAAACCAAATACGAAAAAAATTTGTCCTATGGGCCCCACGCGTGATTTCCTCTTTACGCTTAATCTATAATTTTTTTTTCTTCTCTCCCTGGTCAAACACCTAGCAGAACAATTATAGACTAAGGAAAAAAAAAAGAAATAATGTGTGGAGCCCACAAAATAAAAAAATAATAACTTAGATTTTGGGACAAAAAAATTTGAATTTTGAATTTTTAAAACTTTTTTTTTTTTAATTATAAAATTAATATAATTTTTTTAATCTTATTTTAATTAATTTTTTAGTATTTTTCAAAATTTGAGAATTAAAAGTTATCGAAAATATTCCTACTTGAGAAATGGTCAACTTGAAAACCCCCAAATGTAAAGGTTCAAAAAACTAAAAAGGACTAATTTAATATAAAATACATATGTAAAGAAACAAATCAGTGAATTTGTCAATGTAAATGACCAAAATAAATTTTTTTGATGTAAAGAACCATTTAGGCAGTTTACTCTAACCAGATTTATTTTTCCTTATTTCTCCATTCTTTTTCTGTCATTCCTCTTTCACCTCCTTAGATCCAGAGATTTCATGCTATTCTTCTCATTTCTTTTTTTTTTTTTTAATTTCATAATCATTGTTGAAACAAAAGAATTTTTTTTCTTTACTTAGATTTTGGCTCTCAAACAAAAGAGATTTTAATTTCTTCAAAGAGTTTTCTCACTTAATTGTGTTGTGACTTGTAAGGACAATTTTCTAAGAATTTTCTCACTTAATAGGTTTAATATTGTTTTCGATGTTTAAGTTCATACATTTATTTTGTTAAAAACGCCAAGCATCTAAAATTCTAATAAATTATTAGTAATTGAACTTTGGGGTTGCATAATTCTTACAAATATTATTAATATCTTGCTGTTGTCAAAATTCTATCGAGTATAGTGATCAATTTAGATGTCAAAGTGACAATAATTTTGGCTAAAGTAATAAGGATAGATTGTAATGGTTTTCCATTATCACATAACCCCGAAAATTATAAAACAAACCAAAAAAAAAGTTAACATATCTAGATAAGGAAAAGAAGGGAAAAAAATCGAGTAAAATAAATATGGTATTCATTAAAATATTAAATAAGGGTAATATAGGTAATTGGTGAAATTTTGCTCTTAATGTAAAAAAGAGTTCTCAATTTATCACCTCCCTTTTGATAATTGACTTACCAATTAAAAGATATTTTTGATATTTTAATCAATAGTAAGTACTCCCCCCGTTTCAAAATAAGTGTCGTTTTGGCAAAATGGAGAAATTCCAAAATAAGTGTCTTTTTCGGATTTCAATGCATTTTTTGTCAAAAATTTCCAAACATACCCTCAAAAGATATAATATTATTGGGGAACATTTATTTTAATGGGGTTGGTTGATGATATTTTAGTAATTTAGTTACCTTATTTAATGTTTTCTTAAATTATGTGCAAACTCTAGAATGACACTTATTTTGGAATAGAGGGAATATGATTTAGATAATTAGCTAAACTTCGAGCGTGTCCCTATGGGAAAGAGGAAGAGGAAAAAACGAAGATTTTGTATGGTACTTTTGATAAAAAAAAAAAAAATCAATCTGATTTATTTCATACTCTTAATTTGTAATTTATGTTAACCTAATAAAAAATTAAAAAAAAAAAAAGAGGTAAGAAAACTATTATAAAACGCGGGTAGTAGTACATTGAGTCATTGACACATTGTAGTACTCTTTTTGTTTGCTAGAAATGGAAACTTAGATAGGGTAATTCTCAATGACCTTTTCCTATGATTGATTTGGGATTTTGGGGGCAGTCGTAGAATCCAATTCTCTGGGACGCCGGCACGTGTACCACAATTCACGAGGAATCCGAGATTTGGACTTTGCAGCTGCCATGGCGGGGCATTGTCGCGTCAGCACACACACACACACAGATTTTTGTTTCACCATCTTCCCAAAATCCAAACCATATCTATAATTCACACCAGAAGAAAAAGAAGAAATGGGCAGAGACGTATTCTAAATTCCAACTCTCTGCGGCAGCACATTCTCTCCGGGGCTCCATCATTTTCATACCTTTTGTCGGGTTCTTTCCCGCAAGTTTCCAATCTTCGAATTTCAGCCACTCACATTATGGGCAAAAAAATAATTCAATTATTAATCGCTGGACAACTCATGTAGTCATGTCTTTCGCGCACATCCTGGAAATTGAGATAAACCAAAGAATTTTGCTTGCAGATGTAGTAATTGGTAATTTATAAAGAAGGACTCTGTTTTTATTGAAGTGTTAGATATTGACATTTGTTAGTGAAAAGGGGAGGAAATCAGAATTGAGAAAGATGGAAAGGAGAGGAAAAATTGGTGGAAATCGAAAAGAGGAGGAGGAGCAGGATGAGGAATTTTTCCTGGAAAATGGTGGAGATGAAGATGGAGATGTTGAGGAAGGAAACATGGATTTTGAAGAAGACGACGAGGTTGGTGGCCTTGGTGATGAGAATGAAGATGGTGGCTGTGGGCGTAGCTTTTCTTCTTCTTCTTTCATTTCTCAGCAATGGCCTCAGAGTTACAAGTATGTTTCTGTCATTTGTTTTGCACATTTGAGATTCAGTAGAAACTTTAGTGTTCATAAACAATATATAAAATAAAGTCTATTTGTTATACTGCCTGAATTACATTTGGTAGATTTGACTGGTGTAATCTTTAATCATTGTTACTGTGCTGTGTCTGTATGATTTCAGTTCCCTTTTCAGTTGTATGGATTTTAAACTTGGTTTAGGAAGAAGGGCTATGTTTCATTTGATAAATATTTGCAGCTGCCTTGTTGAGTGGTCCATCTGCTTTTTGGGTGGCGTTTTGTTGATCTTTTGCTGGAAATGGAAAACAGTGAGAACAGTTCTCACTTAGCAACTCCCTGAAAACAACATTCAAGAGTTCCGCTCCAAATTATGGAGTCCATACTCATGATTTGCTCTGGCCACTCTGAGAAAATGTTGCTTAATTTGAGATTCTTAAAAAACAAAAAAAAAACCTAATATTCTTGTCTTACATGTATTGTTGCTGAATCTTGTGAGAAACATGACTGGCAGGGGTAGGTGTTCTTTGTTCTAGCATTCGCAGTTGTTCTGTTATCTAGATCTAAAATATTGTCTATCGAGATTCAAACTTAAAATGGATAAGTGAACTAGAGAAACATTATTAGAAATCTTGGAGTATTTGAACAATTTTGATTCTTTTGAATTGGACTTTGTCTTCCCACATTCCATTGTGGTTAGATATTAGCACATTCATGAACTGGGATGCCTATATCAGTTCAATTCAAGCCAACTTTCTGCTCATGTTTAATTTGAGGAATTCATAATTCGAAGAGGCCTATCTGTTAGTCTTTGATGCATGCTTTCTGCATTCTATTGCAGGGAAACAACGGATATCTACTCTATTGCGGCATCTCCAAGTTTCGGAACCCTTCGGCGCACATCTGGTGTTTCTCATTCGAACTATGACATTAATAGTCATAATAACTTAGACCGAAAGACTCCGTTGCTGTCTGAGTATAAGAACGATCTGCAGAAAGAAGAAGCGGGTAGTTTAACGAGAAAGCAATCATCGTGGCTGGAAAAGAGTTCGATGTATCGGCAGCTCACTGGGGAGCTTCCTATTGGTTATGGATGTAGCTTAACACAAACTGTTTTTAATGGTACTTTCCTTCATTTTGCAGAACAAGATTTCTTCCATTGAAATAGCCTTTTAAGACATACTTCTGTGGTCTGTTAACGGCCTACCGATGGAAGGAAGAAGAATACCTGTGGTGTTGATTGAAATTAGATAAAAGTCAAAGTTCCATTATAATCTCGCATGCATTTGCATAATATAAATTTTTCAAAGGAATATGCTGTCAGAAAAAATTTTGATAGTGGTATCATTTTTGCGGTTCACCGATGTTCATAGAAAGGGTTTTCTAAACATTCACTCATGTGTCGAATATATGCCGGGTAGGTAAAGGATTTGTTTTGAATGCAACAGGAGTAAATGTTCTGGCTGGAGTTGGACTTCTTTCGACACCCTATACAGTTAAAGAAGGTGGCTGGGCAGCTTTAGCTGTGCTCGTTTTATTCGCGTTTGTCTGTTGTTACACTGCTGATCTTCTGAGACACTGCTTTGAGAGCAAAGAAGGCATCTTAAGTTTTCCAGACATGGGAGAGGCAGCATTTGGAAGAGTGGGACGCATTTTAGTATCTGTAAGTTTTGAAGTTCAAAGCTAGAACATGATGCATCATGTTACCAACTGCTTGTTTCTGTGTGATATCTTTATTGTCTTTCATTGTTTTTCGTTTTCCCCCCACTTTTTCTGGTTCTAAAAAAAGGCTGATCTATTTAATTTTTCAGCTGAAAAAGCACTCAATTTTAGTAACATGTACAACATATATCATGCGGTTAGTTAAAACTTTAGACCTGTTGAACTCTTCTCCAATTTGCCAAAGACAATTTTGTTATAGGGAAAGTTTGCATAGAAGCAGAGTACTAGACCTGATAACTATCAAAGTTCGAAGACGCAGCACCAAACGTGGTGGATGCAAATCAGGTCGTAGATGGTTATTAGTGTAAATGCAACGGAAAATTAAAAGTAACCGAACTAAGAATCACTCTTAGTCACCTTCAGCGTCACACCTCAGTGTCTGAAAGTTATATCACAGAACAAAGCAAAAACAAGCTTTTTAATATTGAAAGTCTACCTTTCTCCTGGAATGAGTACATTCAGCCTGAAACTTAACCTAAACCAAACACAACTAGTATTTGCTCCTAACCAAAGTGGTTGTGGTGGAGTGGAAGGGACTCCTCCACCCTTAACCAGAGGTCGAGGGTTCGATACTCGCCATGGGCATGGAGCAACCTTAAATTACTTTGGCCAGCTGTCCCACCCATCGAGGTCCCTACAATTCAGCGAGGGGGATTAGTCACTGTTGCCGACGGTGGACACCCTGCAAATATGCAAAAAAAAAAAAAAAAAAAAAAACTAGTATTTGCTCCTACTTCATAATAATAAACTTAATTTCCTGTTTAACCCTTTGGTTTCTTCCTCGGATCATGACGATCCTGGGCATGAGTATAGAGGAACCTGGTGATAAAATTCTTCTACCCTTCCTTGTCCGCATCAACAAGGTTGTTATAGTATTGATAATTTAAAAGCTGGACAGTAATCTCTCACTATCTAATCTCTTTTATGAGGGAAAAGCCTTGGTGGCAAATGTTTTAGACAATGAAAGTGAACAGTCTAGTTTCATTATCTGGAAGTTTTGTAATGTGACAAGCTTCTCTTTGTACTTGAATGCAGATCGTCTTGTATGCCGAGTTATATGTAAGTACAAAATATCTCCCTAAATTTGTTGATTCTTCTCCAGATAAGCATTTCAAAACATCTCTAACACACATTCCTTGAAGTCCAGACATCTTGCGTGGAATTTATCATCCTTGAAGGAGATAATCTAACCAGGATATTTCCAGGAGCATCCATGGATTTGTCTGGTTTACATTTGGATTCCATGCATCTGTTTGGAGTTATAACTGTTCTGGTTGTTTTACCCACAGTTTGGCTGAAAGATCTGCGTTTGATCTCTTATCTTTCAGGTCTAAGAAATGCCTACATACTGCTTCCTGTTAATTTTGTTATCTGTCAAGAAACATAATTTGTTACTATGGTTTTATGCATCATTTGTGACCATCGTCCTTGTAATCTGTGCAGCTGGTGGTGTGATTTCAACAGTTGTTGTAGTTTTGTGTTTGCTTTTTGTTGGTACGGCAGAAGTTGGTTTTCATCACAGCGGTCCATTGGTGAACTGGAAAGGCCTTCCTTTTGCCATTGGAGTCTATGGATACTGCTATTCGGGTCATTCTGTGTTCCCAAATATATACCAATCAATGGCAGATAAAACCAAATTTACTAAAGCAGTAGTAATAAGGTAAATGACTTTTGAGCATTTGAAGTTCTTGCAACCAAATTTTCAATGTGAAACAATATTTTCTTTGTTCCATAACAGAGCAACTTGCTTGTGCAGTTTTATATTGTGTGTTCTATTGTATGGAGGTGCTGCAATCATTGGGTTTCTCATGTTTGGCGAAAGCACTCAATCACAGATTACTCTGAATTTGCCACCACATGTTGTTAGTTCAAAAGTTGCAATATGGACAACAGTAAGGCTATGAATTTAATATTTCCTTGCTCTCTTGTTCATAATCGGCTCGGTCAACTGGAACGCCATGCCAATATTTCTCACATTGTTTTCTACAGATTGTCAACCCACTTACAAAATATGCCCTGTTGATGAACCCCCTGGCTAGAAGCATAGAAGAATTGCTTCCCCGAGGGTTGTCTGAAAAATATTGGGTCTTCATTCTTATAAGGACAGCCCTTGTCCTGTCTTCCCTTTGTGTTGCTTTTCTTCTTCCTTTCTTTGGTAAGCTGTGTGTGTGGTTTCCTTTGTTCCCTTTGAGTTCATTTACAAAATGATGCAGTTTCATTTTTCAATGTTGCTGGTTAAGTAGTTTGTCTCTTTTTTTTCTTTTTTTTTTCCTTCTCTTTTTTGGGTTAAAAGTAGTTTGTCTCTTTCCTCTATCTGTGATCTGAGTTTTGTACCAGGAGCTTTTATCTATTTCCATAGACTTTTTCTTAGAGAAGCTTATTTTGCAGATCCTGGTCTTGTCTTCACGGTCTATACTAATTTATATAACTCAAAGCTGATGGTTTTGTTTCCTAAGAGAAATTAACTTAAGTTGGGTCAGATAGATATCTGAACTTTTGTATCTAATATCAATGTAAACAGAAACTCTTAAATGTAAGTTATACAGTCTAGTGTTTTAAATGGCCTTCTATACTTTGTGCATACAGTCTATGTACACAGTCTAGTTATACAGGCCTTGAAAAAATTATGTTCTGTGTGCCAGCAATTGCTATCTTGGTTGAGATGTCGATAGCAATTTCGTTCCAAGCAGTTCTGTGTTTCTCAGAACATATATGCATTCTGTACTTAGCTATTCTCGTTCTGATACAGAACCACCTCACATTATGTGTCTCGTCTCTTTATTGCAGGTCTAGTGATGTCTTTAATTGGTTCACTTTTTAGCATTCTTATGGTAAGCTTGTTCAACATCTGTGCATTATCATTTGATAATTCTCCTAACTAAATCATGCTATCTTATGACAATCCTAATTGTTTTGCTGGTCATTTTAAAAGTCTGAGAACTTTTTCCAAGTCAAGTTTAAATGCGTGCAATCAGTAACGTCAGAACTTTTTCCAAGTCAAGTTTAAATGTGTACAATCCGTAATGCCACATGAAATTTGCTGAAGTGGATTCTATTTTCATGTTTAATGCTTGAAGTATTGATCTACTAGCATCTTGATTTACTTTTTCCTTCACAAACTGAGGATTACTGTGTGCTAAAATAGCTTTACCCAACGTAAATTAGGTGAGAAATAGTGATATAGTTGTCACAAACATTAGTTGATCTTTGGATTTAAATACAGATCCCCTTATTTTATGTCCTCTCTTTTGCAAGCTAAATTAAGCTCAGTAGTACCCTGGTAGTTGCTTTTCAAATCGGATTGCTGCTCCTTGTTTGATTTTTTGTTTTCTCAAATAATTCAGTACTTACCTTTTGTCAAAGTAATTCTTCATGTTTCCTAATATCGATAAGGATGATCTGACGCAAGTATCTTGCCCTTTGCTTCAGGCTATCATAATGCCAGCATTATGCTTTCTGAGAATATTGGGAAACAAAGCTACAAGGACACAGGTAAATATGCATAATAAGCAAGAATCTTCTGTGTCTATCTCCTGATGAAAATCTCCTGTTGAAAAGTTGATTAGAATTCTTGAATGGATGATCCAAGGTTCAGATATACAATAGAAGGAAAAAAAAAAAAAACCCTTGAGATTTGTTTTTTTTTTTGAAAATATTGAGATTTGGTTAAGTACCATGGAAACTTTAAAATGTGATAGTATTGCTGCTATTTTCATACAACTAGTTTTTTCCTGAGACAATAAGTTGGAACATATTTGGTCATGTAAATTGTTTGCTAATAATATTTTGCTCCACCAAGCACTCCTTTTCTTGGTTCCCGATATAAGAATATCTTGTGTTCAGACTCTCTAATCTGAAACTTGATCCTTCATGGATTCTTTGATTAACTATATCCCTGCTACTCTCTCAGATTGTACTGAGTTCCACGATTGTGGGATTTGGAATCATTAGCGCTGCCATGGGAACCTACATCTCAGTATCTGAACTGGCGAACAAGTACTAGTACTGTCCCATGAGACCCCTGATACTAGTGGTCTTCTTGGTTCCCTCTAGGCAAATATTAACCAAGCATGAAGTGTTCTTGGAAGTCCAGTGATATTTTTCTATGGCAGATCTCAATTCTTTCGTGCATCAGGCCCCTTAGAAAAAGCTTTCAGATGGCATCATTCCAGATGCTGTATTCTTGAGCTCTATTGACCAAATTTTGTAATGTTGAAGTAATCATGCTGTCCTGATTATTTTTATTAGATAGGAGGAAGTCAACTGCAAGTCTGCAACTAGATATTGATCAGTTTTGGTCATAGCATTTCCACCTTTCAATTTCCATTTCTGGAATTTTTCCATACATGTTGTAACTTCTAAGCTATTTTTATTCGATTAAGCCAGAATATTTATTTAGGAAAAAAATTATGCTAATGATCTTAAAAATAATAGATTTTTAAGATAATATGTATTGATCGAGTATGATTTTGTATAGTCAGTCTTCTTATCTTAGAGACAAGTCTTCTAATTGTATATTGACGCTCATAATATGGATTGAAGGTTATTTTTTATCAATTACACAAAACTGATGATATTAGTATGTTATTAAGGGAGCATTGGGTAGATTGACTATAAGTAAAAGGGAAATGTGGTCGTATTACTTAAAGTCGGAGGATTTATGGTAGATTATGCCAAAACTCGGGGATATAAGTTATTCCCCCGATCCTTATTATAAGGCATTTTAATTTTGTCTTAAATTTCACTTATGATGTCTTTTTAATCGAAATAAAAATCTTAAAAAATATTTTATAATAATTAGGAGAACGCAACGAACTTAAAAATATATTTTTAAGGTTTTTTTTTTTCCAACTAAAAAGACATCTTATGTAATTTTAAGATGAAATCAAAATGCCCTTATAATAAGAAACGGAGGGAGTAGTTCATTAAAAAAAAAAAAAAAAGCTTAATTCTTTTTCCTCGTTGCTTAATACCTCTCGAACTCGGGGAGCTTTAATTTGGCACCAAATTAAGATTGCTTATGATTATGATAATGATGATCACAAGGAAAGGAAGAAAAAAAATATATATTGCATTAGATCTACGAGTTAATTTTCCATTTTTACAAAACGCCAACTAAAATTAATTTCTTTCTCAACCGACCTTGAATATGTGTAAATGACTTAATTGCAATAAACCCATTCAACTTTCCACGATTTAGCAAAATCCTACCTCCTAATTCCGAGATTAAACAAACTACCGTCATCCATTATCATCATCACGTTATCAATCAAATCAACGGGCAAATGTCCACCATTATTTTTACACATAAAAAAAATGCAATATATATATATATATATATCCTTTTATATATATACTAGTGATGTCTGGTCGCGCAATGCGCGACCCTGGCCCAGTCTATCTGTAGATCTTAAAAATGTTTATATTTGAAAAAAAATAAAATTTTGTATTTGGAGCGATATATTTTAGAAATATTTGAAGGATTTAGAAATGTTTTATACGTGTGATCATAGAAATATTTGTATTTTCTAAAAAAAAAATAAATTGTATTTCGCCATGTATGTTTTAGAAATGTCTTATAAGTGTTACTTATTAAATATAAATAGCCTTAATCGAATATATGTGTTGAAGTAAATGTTAGATAAAATATAAAAACATCCTAATAAATTTAAATATTAGTAAGATGATTTATTGATGTTCTCCATTGGTCGTGCCAAATCAATACTTAGTTTTGGAGATTTTTAATAGCTTTGTAATAAGCTTCATCCGAAGGGTATACGCTTAAAACAAAATTGACACTTTGTAACAAAAAACCTAATTGATCAATTCAATTTAAAAAACCACTCTAGTTGAATGAAACATAAAGAAAAAATTAAAAAAAAAACGTGTCACGTAAAGTGCAAAGGGGAGATTTAGTAATTTAGTTATGGTTAGACAAAAGGGCAATTTAGTATTTTCTACATACCACGTGACAATCATATGAGGTGTTTGAAAGGGAGGTTTTTGTTTCTAATATAGTAGGATATATGCACACATATATCTCTATTTCTCATTTTCCTTCAAAATAAGGATTCTTCGAAATTAGAATAAGCACATCTTTTAAGATTTTATCCTAAGATTATTTCGTGTTTTGCAAATGATGAAAAAAAAGAAGAAAAACATATTGCATTTTGAAGTCATGTTTAAAATGGTTTTTGGGGACAACAATTTAACAAGAAAGAAAACACGAGTTATTCATTTTGCCATCATTACAAATATTTCTATTTTATCGAAGAGATATCACCAAAAGAGAGAAAATACATTTTGGAAAGGCTGCTTATCTCAGTGCCTTGGCTAGTTCACCAAGTTATTTACCCCTAGATAATAAACAAACAAATAACACAAGTATTTATGATTGTTCATATTAGAAACACGAAGTGATATTTTCGAAAATTATTTCGAACATGATAAAACTTGGAGGGTTTGTTTACAATTAGCTTTAGCAAAATCTACATGACATAAGGAAACTTTAATTGAGGGAAAAAAGAAAAAAAAAAAATTGAAGAAAAAAACCCACCCACATCGTCACCCCCACATGCCCCGATCCATGCGCTCCCCTTTAATTTTCTCTCTCTTTTCTCCTAGCCAAAAAAACAAACATCAAAGATGCAATCTTTAGCAGTTATCACGAAGAGGTTGAGTCTGAACAAAACCAACAACAACAACAATGCAGGCCGAATTGCATTAGCTTTTAGGACTCCCTACTGAAAATTATCTTCTCAAGATACGATTCTGCGAAAAGGGTCTTTTTTTCCTTTTCCATTTTGGTCGACTAAGTAGTTAGAAAACCGGCAAAATGATGATGAATGTCATTGACAAAGAAAGGTTGTTGTGATAGGACAAATTGTTTGTTATATATAATCCCAGATTCTTTTTCATCCTGGTGGAGTCATTGTGATTATTATTGTATAGAACAAATAAATGTCAGAATTGGTGGCTCGGACTGGTCGGCATCAACAGCGGTACAAGGATGGTTATCGCCTCATTGCTGGGTAAATTTTTCTTTTCTCTTCTTTTTGGGTTTTCACCCTTCCTTTGGGTTTCTAGTTCTTCTTTGCTGCTGGCTACGTTGGTTTTATTATCATTACTTTGTGTTTTGAGCAGGGTCTCATTTATTTTGTCAAAATTAATGGAGAATGTGCTGGAAATGATGATGTTCTTGGTTTATTGAGATTGGTACCGAGTTAATTATTGTGTTTTTCATTATGAGAATTCTTCTGTTTCCTGAATTGGGTTTAATTTGGTTGTGGTCAAGGATGAATAGAAATGCGGCCAGAAATAGTTTGGTTTAATCTAGAATATGATCTTCCTGGTCATGTTTCAATCTTTTAGTAATTGATTGGGTTTTGTTCAAGCTTGGGCACTTATTCGTTATTCATCTTTAATTGAGTTGGAATCAGTATTATGAATCATTTCCAACCACTTTGCTGTGCTTCCCCAGCTCTTAGATGTTTGTTTATGTGGATTCTTGCATTAAGGTATTTGTTTAAATATTTTGTTTCCTCTTTTCCCTTAGTTTTGGTTCTGCTTAGTCCTAATTTGCTTCAGTTGGATATGGGTTTGAGAACTTAGCGAGGTTTGATGATACTTCGGTTGGTTCTCCCTTCTCCCCTTTCGCCTTCTATAGCTTCAGTGAAAATGGAGTAAAGTAGTTTTAGGTCGGTAAGAGTTATAGGAGTTTTTGTGCTCTTAGAAATCTTAACTCTTTGGTGTTATGCATGGATTTAACATTGCCAAACCACCTCATTGCAGCTCTTACCATATGGATATTACGTTAGTGCTACCTAAAAAATAATTATATTGAACATAAGACTCTACTGGAGAGGTAGACTGGGAACAAGTAGGTATTACATACTTTGCCATTAACGAAATCAATTGCCTGTTTAAACCATTGTCATTTTTCCTTTGCGGTTGTGTTGATGAGGATTGCTGCTAGATTTAACTTGAAGTGAAACTAACTTAGATTACATCTGAGGCATGATAAATGTGCTAACTTGGGCTAAGTGACTTCCCGGTGTCTGACATGGCACTCAATTTTGCATTTTGATATGCCTGTAATAAATATGCCATAGATATTAAGGTGCACGTGGATGGTGCATCAAGTACTAGTGGAGTAATTAGGCCAATTCATTATTTAATCAATTACAACCAGCATTTGTGCATACTAAAGAATTGTGGTGAAAGAACTGAAAACATCATTTCTTCCTCTCTATTTCCCATCTCCTTTACTAAACTATTTACATTTCTTCTCTTGATTTGATGTTTTGCTTGAAGTGCTATAGCTCGAATGCCTATCTCATGAAGTATTGTCTCGCCCATCCAAAAGTTGTTTCAGATGCCAACAAGGACACCGCTCCTTGAATTCAGCTCAAAATGTTCCCTTACATGCATTACTTTTTTAATTTGTATAACACGTATTGTGATACTATGATGCTCAATTACGTGGCTATGCTGTGTCTTTTGTCTTGAAATATACATGTGGTAATGTATTTTTACCATTCATAACATAATGTATATTTTGCAACTTGTGCTTTATGGGCAACAAAGCTTCGACTTTTCTGTGTCTCTTTTGTTTCTGTTTCTTTCGCTGGCATTTTCTTCTTTAGTTACCTCAAGTCGGTATTATTCCTACCATCGTGACCTTTGAAATAATTCTAGAAGTTGCAAATGTTAAGGCACCATTTGAAGATGTTAATTCACATGGACTTCAAGACTTCCAAACTGTCATCATTTAAAAGCTGTTGCCACTTCATGAATTTAATTGCGTGTTTTATCCAAAAAGCTGTTGCACATACCAACAGAAACACATTCCTTGAAATTGTTTTCAGAGTCTGAATTCTGTGATGTGAGTTAGTTATTGTAAATTGAGTAACATTTTCTGTTGTACTAAATTATGTGGCATCTATAGTCCGACTTATGGCTTGATTATAGACGTGATAACATCTTTTACCTATTTAGACTGAGATATTGCACAACACAGCCTCTGCTTCCCCATGACTTTCTTTTTTGTGATCATTGATTTTTCACCTTTGTCGTTTCCTCTTTAATATACTTCCCGGCTTCAATGCTTAGCTCTGTTACCTTGAACATAAATGCCAAAGTTGCTAACTATTCGAACGAATCAAATGAATGGAGATTTATGGTCAGAACAAGCATCATAAAAGACAAGTTCCTATCCCATGAGTTGTTGTGCATCCATCCAAAACTTGTTGCACATATCAACACAAACAACACTCCGTGCACTTTGTTGTGACGTTAGATTCTGTGACATCCATTACATTTCGAGAATTGTTTGACATGTATTGTTTTACTACATTACATATGTTGTATATTGTGACATATGTTATGATATGTACACTTGGTAATGTATTGTACCCATTTATATTGAAGGACATTGAGTAATGAGTTATGTATGGGTAAGCTACCTACCGATTTTCTGCTTATTGCTTGTTTGTTGTCATTAGATTAGTTGAAGTGGGTCCTATACTTAGTTCTGTAACTTTTGAAACGAATTCCATTGTTAGAATTGCCAAGATATTCCATTTGAAGACATAAATTTGAATTAACTAAAAATCTTCCAGAAGATTCTAATTTTGAACTATCATTATATAGGACGGGCTGCTGTTATCGCGAATGCAACAAATTTGCATCTTCAACTAATTCTAGTCATTCGGAGATGTTAGCTTTACTAATTCTTTGAGTTTGAGTTTTGAAGGGTAATTTTTTTTTTCAGAATGATAAAAATCAGCTGTGGATACCAAATTTTTTTTTTTCTCTAGGACATTATTACTATTCTAAATGAAATGTTGCTATCATATGTAGCCAATCATAAAATAGATTTACTATGCCAGTGGCTACTGTTTCTTGTAGAGTTGCAATGAACTTAAATATGCCTTAATCCATTAGTTACTCTATAAAAGGGCAGTCATCGTGGCAACCATATATTATGCCAATCAAGCTAGCCTTCCCCTCTCTGTACTTTTTGACATCTAAACTGTTCTAGTTAGATCATTCATCAGAAATAAGTCAATGATCATATCTCAAATAGCTTTGCAGCTCATCTTGATTATAGCGGAATATTTCCCATGAAATTGTTGGATTGCATTTTGGTTTATTTTTGCCTGTAATAGGGGTTACATTATTTTGAACATGGTTGTTATTAGGTTATATTATCCAACTGTTTTATTGAAATTTGGCTGGGGACAGATTTATCTTTCACATTTCCATTCAAAAATGAGAAAAAGACATGCCAGACAACCATGCAATTCATTAAATATTGTGTCAGTTAATTAAGGAACCAATGGATTGGAAACTAATGTTAGAATCTCCTAGATAATGATGCCAACTGTAACTTTATTTCCTGAAATCAGATGGATATTTACTTGCGGTGAATGCGATTACCAATTTCACATGAATTCATATGAGACTGGGATTGTAAAATGTTCAGTGCGATGGTAACTGTTTAGTTTTCTGAATTTGTGCGGCACTTGCTATTGCTCTTCTTTTTCTTTCTTTTGGTTTATCTGCTTATGGTTTCATTATGGTGCTGGCGTCTGCCTTTTCTTTTCAACTTGTATCTCTGGAGGTAATTCAGCTGTAGTACTTCACTAGAAGTGGTGTGAAACCAGATTACTACTAAGATAAAGTTTCTGTTATTGTCTTCCTGGCCAGCTGATTTTTAAAACAATTGTTGAAATAAGGACAGTTGTGAACCATATTTCTCTTGGGAAGGAATTCTAATCTTATGAAATATGTGAAAATAAATCGGAAATCAGCATATTAGATCCTGATCACAGATGCATTTTCAGGTGTATCCCTTTCAAGTATAGAGATTCAGGAGAAAATGGTGATGATTCATCAGAGAGAACTGTTGAAGTTCTGATGATTAATTCAAGTGGTGGACCTGGCCTTCTCTTCCCTAAGGTCAGATATCTACCCCTCAACATGATAATTCTAAAATCATACTGATCTCACAATCCATTCATTGAAGTATATCTTTGGTTTTTGCTTCTGAAGTGTTTTATCGATTTGGTGAATGTATTATGTCGAGGTAATTCTGTTTGGGGAGGTTAGAAATTTTTTTCTTTTTAATCTTCACTTTAGTGTTGCTATCAAAAGCTTATGGAGTCTATCTAATGCTTTTTATTTTAGTATTTTGTTGCTGGTGGAATAAAAAGGGTATGGAAACATGGTTGTGTATAGTCAGAATCAGTGCTTAAAGAAATTAGTCATCTAGAGTAATCATGTAATGCTTGACATTATTATTGTAAACACTCTGTGAAGGCCAGTAAGAGGGAAAAATGTTATTGTGCTTTTATAGTTGTTACTGGTTCCAAACCAGATAAACGCGTACAGTGTCGTGAGCAACTCTTTGTTTAGAATGATCTCAAGTTGACTATTTTCCTGCGATTTCCTTTTTCCTTAGTTTTGGAATTTGTAGTTTGTGCTAGATCCTCTTAGTAAATAGCATCAGCTTGCTCTTCTTTCCTCAAAAGATTATGTTTTGATGGCATCGGAAGTCATATGTCCAAAGGGCTGTTGATTTCTCACTAAAAATCCCGATGCATTAGTTTAGACAGTATAGGAAATTATGTTACAATCTATTGTTACTCTTTTAGTAAAATGCCTTATTAAGATGCTTTAAGTCAAATTATCTAATCTAGAAAAGTGAGGCAGAAGGTTCACGAACAGCCACTTCAAGGTTCATATAACCTATAAACGGACTGACATGGTTCTGGCTTTGGTTAATAAACCATCAGTTCAAGATTTTATGTTGGTGCTTGTTTTCTTGCTGGGCTTTTACAATTCAAGATTCTTCGGCTAAAATTTAGAGACATACGAGAAGAATTGAACTTTATTAATTTGAAAACTTGAACATTAAGCAGAAAAAATGTAGATTATAGTTGTGATATAATTAGGAAAATGAACTCTTCTAATTGTTGAAATAAAAGCTGTATGGTAATTTGTTAGCCATTAGGTTGTCTCAATAATTTAGTCTATTATGGACCTCTTCGATTAAATACGCATCATCTGGGGATTTATAGAACCCAGTTATCTGTCTTTTTAAGACTTGGCATACTATTTATGTGATTGTTGTAATTTTGCTAATAGGGTGGGTGGGAAAATGACGAAACAGTTGAGGAGGCAGCAATTCGTGAGGCAGTGGAAGAGGCTGGGGTGCGTGGGGATCTACTGGTAAAGTGTTTCTTGCCCAGTTATCTTTTAATTAGATTAAGTAATGAACTTCTTTTCCTGATGATGAATTTTGAAAAGTAGCATCTAATATCTCTTGTTACCTGACAACTAAGTTAGTTGAAAGATGAATCCAGCAGCGGGCCCAATTTCCTGCCGATGCCAATTCTTATACTACTTTACCTCTTTCCCATCTCTTCTTGTATTTATTATTTCATACGTGCTCTATGATGTTGATTTATTATTCCACCTAATTAAGATTTCGATCACTACGATGAGTTGACGGTGCAAATGCTGTCCTTGGTTTTGGGTAAATTGTTTGTCTTCTCTAATTTTAAACGAGAAAACATAGGGTCATTTGTTATTGCTATTGATACGCGTATCCAAAAGACTTAGCCCATGTTTGCTCCCCACCTTTTTGGGGAATCATTTGTCTTTCATCTTTTGAGTTTGGAGTTGCACCATGTATTAGAACGTTAATTGAACAATATTTCAATGGTTCTGTATTTGTTCATAGTGAGAAATGATTTTTGAAATGGAGTACCAGAACTCTGAATGTGCAGTATTTTATGCTTTTTTTTTTTTTTTTGAAACCAGTATTTTATGCTAATTTAAAGATTGGGGAGTGGAATTTATGATGGGTCCTTGTGGAAATGAAAGAAAAGAAACCTTTTTGTAACCTAGTGCATGTGGTTCTTCCTGAGCCAGTGCCTTCTTTGCTGGGTAAATTCATTGGACTTATCCAGTAGTCTGGAGATCAAACAAAGAAGATGTTTGTTTCTGGCAAGGCCTTTTTGAAAGTAAAGCTTTAGGTCCCAAATCTACTTAGAATGAGAAAGGTTTAGATATTACATTTGTAGTTACCATATCTATTGATATTTTGAGGTTATTTTTTTTGTTGCCTTCTCACTGTAAGTGCTAGCATTTCTTTTATACAAGATGGCATGCTAGCACAGATAGGAATCATAAATGCCTAAATCCCTCTATTAGAGATGTACTTTGTGATGTATGTAGTCCCTTTCTGCAGAAAATAGTGGACACAATTAGAAACTGGTTTGGTTGAAATGAAGAGTCAGTCTTCAAATCTGACGATATTGTTAATAAAAAGAGATGCATGGTTTGCGATTAAAAAAATAAAAAAAGCTTAGGATATGAATGAAAAATGAGTAATAAATAGCTCCTTTTGGGACTCGTAGCTTCAAACCCGTAAAATGGTTGTACATTGTCAAAGCTGCACGATTTCTTCGTGATAGAGGGAGGGGTTTCTACCGTTGTCACAAACAAGCTGTTTGTCTTATTTTCATCTTCAATGAACTTATTCATGCTATTACTTCTGTAAACGAAAGTTGGCTTAATTGATGTGTTGGGTGCAAAATTGATACAATAGAGAATAACAAAAGCACAGATTCAGTGTGCTTTCAGTGCCTTTTAATGACTATCATGTGCCTTTTAGGGATTTATGAATGGAGTTGTATTGCGTCTAAGAATGTTTTTGCTTGTGATAGCTGGTTTGTGTAACTGTGAATTGACTGTACATGAATGAACTTTTTGGTGATGAGCAGTATAGTTTACATTATACCTAAAAAAAAATAAAATGTGAAAGGTGCTTAAGCTGTAATCATTTTATATTTTACACCACAGTGAGATTCATATGATTACTGCTGAACTTATCGAATAGAGCAAGTATACATCCGTTTGGAAAGGGAGAGCGGTATAACATTGTTTACTGTCTTTCTAGGTTTTTTTTTTTCTTTTTTTTTTTTTTTGTGGCTAAGTTCTGATGATTGTTGGAAAACTGTGTTTTTGCATTAAGGTCTGGTAAGAGTTGCTGTAATGAAGTTTTGGACGGTGAGTCACATTCTTATTAATTGCTCTTCTTTCAGCATTCACTAGGCGAGTACGAGTTTAAGAGCAAAACACTGCAAGATGAGTCCAGTCCAGAAGGATTGTGTAAAGCCACCATGTTTGCCTTACTTGTAAAGGAAGAGCTTGACTCATGGCCAGAACAGAATCTTCGCCAACGAAGTTGGTTGACTATTCCCAAAGCATTAGAGTGCTGTCGGTATAGCTGGATGCGCGATGCGCTAGAGAACGGGTTCTTAAAGTGGTATGATGATGGCATGATTACTCCAAAAAAAGAAGATATATCTAACTAGTTCCATGAATTCTCAGTGACCTACTTTTGGGGAGTTGTTTAGGGTCTTTAGCTAGGTGCCATTTCTGAGTTGTGTTGGTGCCTTCGAACGTACATTTCAAAATTTTCGTTATCCTGTCTAGATAATAGATGGTCAGAGATAATCTTAGTAGTTTTCTTAACATTTGTCTTAGGTTTACTTGTTTTAGAAATTCTAACCCTTTAATTTTCGAGCCATTTCTTACAAACAGAAAAGAGAGAATTTTTTTTTTTTTTTTAGGGAAATCAAGCAAGAAAAGAAATGAAAGTGAGCTCTTCCTTTTTTTTTTTTTTGCGATTTCCGATTGTCATAATCTGATGTTTTTCTTGATATATGGTTCTTTTTTTTTATCAAACAAACAATCTGATGTTCCTCCGATCATATGTTCTTTCCTTACTGTGATTGTAGAATGTTTTGCTGATGAAAATTGAAAGCATTGGCAACACGCATGTGGACTTACTGGCTTTGACTTCCACCCATTACTATTCCTTTTCTCTGCGAGTTAATCATTTCTTGTCGTAAGTACATATTCAATCGGAATTCTAGCTAGGCCGAGAATTATGTATAAGCCTTACCATTAGTTATCCTCCCCCAGGCAAAGTAAAAAATAAGGTCACTTTGGGCTGTATATGATTACATTTGGAATTGTAATTACGAGATTCGTTTAATTAAAAAAAAAACCTTAAACTTTTTTCCCTTAAGAAAATAAAACATTGAAAGAGATGGTAAAAAAGAGCTCAAATAAGAGAGTTATCTAATGTATCAAAAAAAGACATCATGGTGGTACATAGACAGAAACAAAAATTTGTCATAATCCTTTTTGTTTTTAAGCATAATTAACTCCGACGTATTGATGTTCTCCCAACTACTATCATGTACTACCTTTTTTTTTAATCTACCGCATTAGTGAATCCAATAATTTCTTTTTTAAATATGTCGCAATTCATTTTTAATAACATTAAATGTAATTTTTTAAATTTCAGTCTTATCTCTAGTTACCTTTAGTAATATATATACATATATATATTAACCACAATTAACTATTTTTTATTACAATTTCAAACTTTTGTATAATCTCAATACTTTTAATTTAATTAAGGGCAAGAAAAATACTACTTTCTTACCAAAAAAATAGTCCACATTGAGTTTTCATTTTTGTACTGTTTATAGTAGAAATTTCAAAATTCAAAGTGGACTATTTTGTTGGGACGGAGGGAGTATTATACTTATAAATTAAAGTCTCAATTGTTATTATTTTACAACTGAGAAAATGTATGAATGAAATCAAGTAAAAAGAAGAAGAAGGGGCTGTGATATTTATATGTTCTATGAAGTGTAACAACGTCGACCTCTAATATGCACAAATGATCAGAAGGCTTCAGTCCCTATTTCGATTTTTTGGCCGGTATAAAAAAAACACGCAGTTGAATGCCGGAGAGACGGTTCATATATGGATCCATGAACGAAAATGATAAGAAACTTCACCTTCTCCATATTAAGAAAGAAGAATAATTAAGTACCAAAACTTATCATGAAAATTACAATCTGTTTGGGGGAATGAAATACTTCATCTGGTCCTTATTTTAATATATTCTTTTAACATTTCTTTTGGTCATTTTGTACAATATTAGATGTTTTAAAGTTTCATTTTTAATTATACTTCTAATTCTATCCCAAATTAAGTTGACTATTTTGTAAAATATTTGATGTTTTAAAGTTTCATTGTTCTAGAATCGATCCATTTCTTCTTAGTAGCTAGCCACATTCCTCCTCTCTCATACAAACTGGAAATTAAAAGTAAAAGGAAATTGAAAGAAAAATGTTTTCACGGAATCAAGCAAGAAAAGAAATGAAAATTAGCGTTCTCATTTGCAATAACGCTATTATGTCTTATGATAAACTCCCTCCCTCTATCTTTGAAGTAGTGTAAAGCTTTTTTTTAGATGAAATAACGATAGATGAAGTTACTCCCTGTGGTAATGTATGTAATTTAGTCTATTTTTAGACAACTAACTCAATTAAATTTTCTTGAGTTTCACTATATCATTATTTATTCATTATAACTTGGGATGGAAGGAGTATGTTTTACATTTTGGTTCACTTATTTGTTTTGCAAAGGAACTTTTAAGGATTTGTTCACTTGTTAATTGGGACCGCTGAGGACTCCCAGGTTGACCATTTATAAATGATCTGAAAAAAATCCAATGCATATTCACCAATATTTTTCAAACGCCTATTTTGGCTTCTCGATCCTAATAAACATAAAATTTATTTTAAATATTATTACATATTGTGCGTTACAAACCGTGTCCATTGTCTTTCAAAATACATTGTAGTAATTACATCACATTCGAAACATGTCATCAAGTGTCAACCACCACAAAGATGGATTTTCAGAGGACTTCTGTATATTGAGATGTTGAAAATTATGAATCACGTTTAATAATACGGAAATTTTATTTAATTGTTAGTATTTGATATTCCTGACGGGCCAGACTGCCAATCATAATCATTTTAGGTGACGCAAAGGATTCGATTGTCAGTTCAGGTAGATAGTTAAAATTGTAGACAAAAGAAAAATAAATATTTTCCCCTTTATTTAATAAAAAGATATAGTGAAAATAAAAAAAAAAGGCTCAATTAATTGAATAGGACATATTGTAGCTCGAATCAACAGGGTAGACTCTTTGACATCTTTCTCGTGCACGCGTACGTTGCAATTAGTGAACTCTGTTCCGGTGACGAAGGTTTCTCAATACATCATTGCTTATTGTGTTGACTTGTTATTTTATTCATTCATCTGAGTTTTTTTGATGTTGTGTTCCTAAATCCCTTTGCCTTTCTCCTTGTATTGCTAAAGTAGTACATTTTCAGAAGAAAATTTAAAACTCATATGGCAAAATTATGAATCATTTCATGTTCATTCTGAATATTCATTCCTTCACTCCTTCGAGTTCTCCAGGTTATTCATAAGTCAGGTTTCAGTTGAGCTCATTTCTTTTAGTACGATCTTTGTTTGCAAGAAAAAATAGGGCTTGATCCCAAGGTATATTCTTATGCTAGATCAGGAGTAGATATCCTAAAAAAAAAAAAGAAAAAAGGTTTGCATTATACTATTTTGATATAGGGCGAATGGATGATGTATCTTGTAGACAATGGCCAGGTACGACATCTGTCTCTCGCCCACTAGCATTACTGCAACTAGCAACCACTTGTTCTCCAGCCGAGGCAGATTTCAGCCGGATACATTTCATTGAAATTCCGGTGCAATGAACAGAACGACTGCAGTTGAGATTTATAGCAATTCGGGTACTCGACGTTCCTGACATTGTCTGGTAAGTCACGTTGCTTATTATGACTCCAGAATTATCCTTTGCAACAAACGAGTTAAACCAGATCAGAATGAGGTTAAGCATTAATATGGAAAGCTTTCATTTTAAGGGTGTGTGTTTTTGTGCATTATTTACCAGTTGTGGGCAACCACCCGTTTGGTCGCAATAATTCTGATCAATGATGATGGGATTTTTCACGTTGTTAAACCTTAGGTTTTTAAAAATGACGTGCCGAACATATCCCTCTCCTACTTGCCATGTCTTGATCCTAGCTCCATTTGTAGTTCCCGTGAAGAATGAATTGGTAACCCGAATGTTGCTAACTTGTACCAAATTACCTTGCTTCCCAAGACTTCCAATGCTATACCAAAAAAAAAAAAAAAACATCACAAAGAAAACCAACTTAAAAGTAATATTTTAGATGGGAAAAAAACAATAAAGATAGAATAGTTCCGAACCTTATACCATGTCTTGGTCCACGTTTGATGTTTGATATATCGACGTTGGATGTGTAATCGCCAATGGAGATACAATCATCGCCTGCGAATTCATTCATTCATTCATTTCACAACTATGTACCATAATAACTACAACTTATAATATCACTTGCACTAATTAATGCGTGTCATGTATATACCAGAGCCGATTATCGAGTTTGTGATTCGGACATGGTGAGAGGCTTGGATGTGGATGCCATCCGTGTTGGGGCTCTCATCAGGAGCTTGAATATTAAGATTGTTAACCTTAAACTGGTTGCAATGTATTATAAGCACATGCTTTTGGGGACTGTTGGTAAACCGAACATTGGCCAACCTGGTTTCGGTGCAACTCACGAATTGTAAAGCCTGCACAATCAATCAAATTGGTTATCAAGTCTAATTGAATTTCTCAATGAAAAATTGATCAGGAGGGAGGTATTATTACCGTTGGAGCAAAATATGTGCATCCTTCCTACAAAAAGTATGATGGCGCACATGAAATGATTTGTTTTTTTTTTTTTTAATGGAATTAATGGAAACCAAAAAAAAATAAATAAACAAATTATCGAAGGATTGTATTACTAGTTGAGGACTAATTTTACATGACTGTTCCCACCAATAATTTCCTTGTCCATCAAAATGTCCATTGCCATCGACAGTGAGACCTTTGACGCCATTAAAAACCAGCCATTGAGTTGCGCTACGATAAAACAACATAGTCGGTCCATTTGGAGCTAAGATCGTCCCTGATACCTGTTTCCCAAAATCATGAAGACAAACTAATTAAAATCTCTCGAACTTGTTTTTAATATTAAATAATCTTATTAAAATGTCCCTGATACCGTGAATATAATCTTATTAGGATTGCATGGTCCTTGGAAAGTTACTGGATGACACACAGAAACTACTCCATATATTATCCAAAACTACAACACAAAGCTTAATAATCAACAATCAATATTTAATTTAGCCGTACAATATATTTTATTATTAAGACTTTTAGTAAGTTATTACCTGTATTTTCATTACATATTGGTTCACTAATGATCTGCTACCCTTTTAAAACGAAATGGAATTATTATTAAATATCTTAATTACATAACGTATGCCCAATAACAAATACACACAATTGTATTTTCAACAAAATCATAAAATACTATACTATAAATAATTATGAGGACTTGTGGTTTTGTTGGTGACCTCTTAACATATTTATAACAAAAATTATCATTTCAATAATTAGGTTTTCCATGTGTTATATGATGTTATTATGATTAGCTATAATTCCATTTGATTAGTAAATCTTTTCTCAATCTCATTTTATAGTAGGTTATTTGAATTTGTAATTATAAACTTCTTTATTAGTAAAAAATAATTTACTTTGAGTTATTGGACTAAAGTAATAATAAAATCCAATATTTATTATTAAGTTTGTACACACTATTATTGCAATTTAAAACTTTGATTTAGTTAATTTTAATTACATTTGTGCTTTTAATTACTTTCATTCATATACTACTTAAAATTGCTTCTTTTTCCTTTTTTCTTCACTGCCCTAAGGTACATCAAATTCTTTCGTTTCATGTGACAGGAAATGGTTATATTTATGATTACGGGCTTAGTTTATTATACGTAATGTAAAGATATTTGATTATAAATTTACATATACTCTACATTTTTAATATTTTTTACCAATATTATTCATTGGCGATAAAACAATTGAAAAGTTTTTCAGCAAAAGAAAAACTTCTAGTTCTGATCAATTTAATATTTCTAACATCTAGTTCTGATCAAAACAAAAACAATTGAAACAAAAGTTGTTCATGAATGTCTGTTTTTCAGCAAGTATTTCCAAATTTCTGGCAATTAATGGCTTGTTCATGATTGAATATAAACAGAGTCACCATCTAGAGCAAATTTCTAAAACATATATAAAAAAGCCCGAAATTGACCCATGATAAGAAATCCGGAGCCAAGCTGATAGGTCAAACCCACAAATATCAACTTAAACTTTTCAGCAATTAGAAGCTAGATTTCCGGCCAATTCCTTGCCTGTTTTAAAATGATAACATAATTCTAAGACAATTCATTTCATAATTTCAACTACATAAATCTATGAGTTCGAATCTCCAGTCAAATGTTGAATAGCGTTACCATAACGGTTTTGAAATTCAGTTCCGTGAAGTTTGTAAGTGTAATGGTTAAATATCTACCAAAACAAAGTTATTGTTAACTAATGAATGATGTAATCAGTCCATTATTAGAGATAGAGAATGAAAATGAAAATGAAAATGGATAGAAAAGTTATGGAGGAATTGCAAACGTTTGGACAAGAGAAAGATGAAGGAGAGAATCAGAGAAGATGTTGGAAGAGGAAATGACCTATCCTCACGCGCGCTAAGAAGCAACCAAATTTGCATATAGAGAGGGAAGAGAGAAACAAATTAAAGGGATAATAATTATCAGGAGCGAGCACTTGTGAAATTAAAAGGTGTTAATAATGAAAACTTAATCACGGGGGAAAAGGAATAGGGATGTAACGGAAGAGAAGGGTCAGAAGAATTAAGAAGGCAAAACTGTGTGCATCATAATATTTTCAGAATGGATAATCAAGAAACCCCATAAAGTACACTTTATTATGTTTATTCATTAATTTAATTAGTTTTAATTTATTCCAAATTCAGGACGAAAACTGATTCCATTTAATTTACATTGATCATATAGCATGCACGACCAAAAAACCAGCAAAATGAACCAAGTGGGTATTTACATAAATGATGACTAGTTAGGGCGAATAACAAAGCAAAATATTTTCCTAAAGTAAAATTTGAGAAAACAAAAGATAAGAACAATGATGAAATGTTTTAGTAAATTATAAATTCTACCAATAACTTTAGAGCGGTAAGTGAGCAGACTGAGTTCTTGCTATTACCAATCGAAATGACATTAAATTCAAGATTAGCCCCATAAAAAAATTATGAAAGAAGGAAAATGAACTTAGAATATAAAGTAAAGAAAATATGAACTAATCAATGATTTAAAAAACAATAACAACTAAAATGCTTATAACAGATAAAACCAACCCTCTGTATGAAAAACTATGATATTATTCGAGTTTCATTGTGCTATTATATGCAGGACTTAGATTTTAGACTGCGTGCATAGTTAATATTGGCGACGCTTTTCATTATGTGTCTTCCAAGAACGTCTGCATCAAAGGTGTTCCAAAATATTAGAACATCATATGTTCACATTACCAAGAAAAATAAATTCAAAATTCTTAAACTCTATGTTTAAAAGTTTAATCCAAGACGTGCCAGTAAACCACGTAAAAGGAAAACATAATATGCATATTATAAGTTTATGAACATTTACATTGAGATTTATAAATCTCACCAAATAAATAATTTACCTGAATTTGTTGTTGGTAGACTACCAGTTCAGACAAGTGTCACTCAGGGGAATGAAAACATTCACTCAGGGGAATACAGACCAAGGGTGTTCATCTCCTCTTCCTGTTGCAACAGTTATAAATTGCACTTAAATGGTCAAGTTCTTGTTCATTCAGCTCAGATATAACTCTAAGTCAGTTCTCATTTTTCCTAGAGCCATCCTTGTAACTTTAATAATCTATTTTTCAATGATTGAGTACAGTTATAAAGTCATTAAGATCTACGGCTTATACGAATACTCATGTCAACTAAGTATATTCATATCTTAGTTAAAACCACAGTTTGTTACCTTTATGTCACAAGTTGAAGTTGAAATAATCCAAACCAAGTTTATCCTTCCAGATTTTCCCTAGTTCAAGCATGCATTCAATTAGAGATCAAGTAACTGAATGTAGAAACACTTTCAACTTCAAAACATAGAACAAAACCAGTGCATTACAACAACTACAACATAGGTTGAGGAGATTAACCCATGGAAGCTATTTAGCCACTCATATTGGTTGATGCTACTGCTACTACTTCAACATACATCATAGAAGTATGCATCAATGAAATGAAATACAAGCTAACAACCAAGAGAAGAAGATAGCTTATGCAGTTCAAGGTCACTCCTGGGAGGGACAGAGTTCACTCAAGGGAATGAAACAGTGAATGAGATGGTTGTTCTTCAACTTGCTTCCTGCTGAGTTGTTGTTCTTCTTCCTTCCTTCTTGCCTTCTGTCCGGAGTTTTTCTGTGTATTTTTGGCAACTGAGAGGTGTAACCAGATATTTCCTCTGCTGTGAATGCATCTCCCCTTTTATATAGCTTGATACTGGTTCCTCTTCCAAGAGAGCCTCCCCATGCTTGTGTATTCGTTATTCACCCAATGCCTTCTGTCTTGAACTTGGAATTGACTGGTCTTTTGCTCTCCTTTCAGAAATAGTATCAGCCGCAGAATTGATCAGCTTGGGAGGTTAGTTTCTCAGCCAAGGAGAAAAGCATGCCCTTGGGTTTCTAAGGTGGGACACACTCATTATTCTCTAGGTACTTTGGTGTCTTGGAGATGTTTTTTTGACCAGCTCAGCAAAAATTGAATCCATCAGCCCACACTTTGTTCCAAAAGCTCCCTTTTTCAGCATTTATTCACTCAGGTCCCTTCCTATGCAAAAACATAAAACTAGTTAAGTAAAATGAACTAATTCTAAGAATTACCCCTAATTCTTCACAAAATCCAGAGTAAATGGGTATGCTTTTGTGTAACAAATTAACCACTATCAACTCCCCCAAACTGGAAGAATTGCTTGTCCTCAAGCAAAACCACTAGACTCTTACTGACACTTGCAGAATTACACATGAGAAATAGAGGAAACAACACGGTCATACAGAATTAAAACTGACTTACTTCCCTGAGTGAAGATGCTCACTCAGGCAAGTGACACTAGACATAGAACACAACACAAATACCAATCTACCAGGGGCTTTCAGCCTTTTGTCTCATATTTAAGAAAATATACACTAGGGATACCAAATTCTTCTGCAATCCACAATCAAACAGCTAATCTTCACATGAAATCAGAATACATGCCACAAAAGTTAGTTCATGCCAACCTACCAATCCATTCTAGTTAACCAAGTTCAGCTTGCGGTGGTCATTCTTGTGATCTGGTCTTGTCCAAGTTACTTCGACTCGATTTACCTATTGAGGCTTCAATCATGGACTTCCTTCATAGCTTTCTGTCTTTCTCTTTCTTTTTTTTTTTTTTGAATGTAGATAGACCAACCTACGCCTTTGGGAGGGGTGTTATTCAACCTTATCTCTCCACTGCCTTATACCTCAACCCTTATTACTCTAACAGCTTAGGACTTTTGTGGTGGTCCCTTGCTGTTACCCCTAAGGATTCAGTTAATCCAATCTTTTATTTCTTTCTTCTTTTTCTTTTTTTTTCTTTATTTTTTTTAAACTTAGACAGGCTATGAGTGAATACCACAAAGGAAGTCTCAGGTTTACAACATTTCTCATCTACTTGTAGCTTAAAACTAGACACAGATCACAACAGTGGATTAGTCATGCCAAATTTTAGAATTTATGTTCTAGGCAGTCACTTCCACGAGTGGCATTGTTCATGTGTGTGAGTGAGTGTCAGCCATTCTTTCATTTCATGCATCAGACTTAGTATCAAAAGTGTTTTAGCACAATTTTTCAAAATCATTATCATCCTGGACTGTTGACAGCTCCTTTTAGAACAAATTTTCATTTTATTCCATTTTTTTTTGAAAAATTTTACAAACTCCATC